CTCAGATTTGGACAGTAGTTAGTTTGAAATATAAACAACAAAAACCTGTCACTCTGCAATTTTTTTTATTTCCAGATATTTTTCTCCCAGGGTTATTTTTCTACAGTCAGTCCATATTATTTTAATCCTATTTTGAAAATGTTCTGTAGCTTTTCACTGAAATTGCATATGGCAAATCGCAGGCTACACAGTTTTTTAGTGCTTTGAGTCCAGAAACTGAGGAACAAATTAAATAAGTGGGGAAAACAAAATTTAATTCAACGTGAAGCTTTCAAAAGGTGATTCAGATGCTCACATTTAAAGACAATTTTTGGTACAGTTTGATAGCCAGGTCCACTTAGCCCATATGCAGACTTTACCTTACATATGCATGAGCTACACTGAGGTATTTGTTGACTCTGCTGCTCTTAATATTTATGTTGTATTTCAGTTACAAAATAGTACCTAAAAGTAATTAATCTTACAAAAACATAGGTAAAAATTAATTTTACTTATTATAAAAAATACTTATCAGCAGAATTATCCAATTACAAGAGATTATCAGTCAACAGTCGAGACAATTCAGTATTTCCTGTAATGGTATCTATAGATAAAATTTTCAATTGGGATTTGTTCTCTGCATGCTTATTTGTCACATGATCAGTGTGCAATCACGTGGGTGTCCAATTACAGGTATCCAATTTGAACTTTTTTTAATTGGATACCCACGTGATTCTCATGTCAATTATGCACGCTTTAATGGCTTCCTTCGTAATGTTTCCGACAGTTTTTAAAACTTATGGAAAGAACCACTGACTTTTTTGCTCAAAACAAGTTCTCCAAAGACTTTATTAATTTCAAAATTTGTTATAAATACAATTAATTAGTAATAGACCAATTTCAATATATTAAAATTCAGCCCAACACAATAGACCTCAGCACGAGGCTCTGAGCAATAAACCCCACAAACTCTGTAGTTATTCCCTAGAGCCTCGTACTGGGGTCTACTGTTTTAGGCTGAATTTTAATATATCGAAATTGGTTTATTGGACCTCATGTCGTACAATTCAGGGAGTAATCATGCTTGTAATTTCAAATCAACCTCGCGCTTCACGCTCATCCGATTTGAAATTACTTGAGTGATTACTCCCTGAATTATACTCCACTCAGTCCAATTGCTATTACTTAATCTCCTCTGATTGGCACACTAGGCTAATTAGTTTTCAGAGTGAGTGTTTTGAGAAATATCACCGTGCTCCCCTCAAATTAGCAATGTCAAAAAACTTGCAGAGCTTTGTGGTGCTTTTTCATGTAAGTACAACTGTAGTCTTGAAAAAAAGTTTTTTTTGCAGGGTCAAGAATGCGAAATCTTACAAGTGGCATGACTAACTTGCACATGTACCAAGAACCTGCATCTTGTGGTCCCAAAGGTATTTTATGAGCTGTTTTTTAATTCTTTTCTTTTGACCATGCATTTGAGGTGTCTTCCTATGGAGATCGAATGAGTTTATAGGTTGCCATAATTCAGCCAGTTCCCAGATTGTGGTTCGTGAGCTGCAATTGGCACTT